GATAAATGCTGGCACAAAGTTCTGATAGTATGATGCAAGACCAAGAAAAAAACGCAATTTGCGGACGTTCACTGGTTGAGGCCAGTTGAGTATGACTTCAACCTTGGTTGCCTCAGGCTCAAGGCTTGCAGCAGACAACCGGTGCCCAAGATAGATGTCGCAGTTCCTCTGAAACTCAGATTTCTCTAAGTTGAGATAGAGTTGCGTTTTCTTGAGGATGGTGAACACTTCCTCAAGGTGCGTCATGTGTTCCTTGATCGACTTGCTGAAAATCAAAATGTCATCCAAATATACAACCACAAATCAACCAATCTATTCACGGAGGACCTTGCCCATGAAACTTTGAAAGGTGGCTGGTGCATTTGTGAGACGGAAGGACATTGTGGTGAATTCGTAAAGCCCATCATGTGTCTTGAATGCAGTCTTGTGTTGGTTTGCATGATCGACTTCAATCTGGTGGTAACTTGAGGTCGATGGAAAAGACCTTGCACCCACCTGCAACATCAAGCAAATAATCTATGCGTAGTATTGGGTAAGCATCCTTTCTTCTGATGCGGTTTCGATCGTGGTAATCAATACATATACGGAGTTTGCCTCCTTTCTTGGGGACAAATAGAACGGGTGCACCGAATTCAGATTCACTACGTTTAATCCATCCCTTCTCGATCATCTCATCGATCTGCTTTCGGAGTTTATCCAACTCGCAGGATCTCATGCGGTATACGCAGCCCCTTGGAGGAACTGCACCTACGACTCTGTATGTATGACCGATCGCGTGGGGACTCCATGTGGTTCGGCCAGAACTTTCGGAAGTCGGTAGAGTAGGCTTTGGATGTTTGTTGGGACAGCTGGGGGTGGGGAATCAGCAAAAGGATCACCTAGATCAGGTCGCAAATTATTAATGGAGGCAACCGAATATGAAGTAGAGTGTGATAGGTAAAGAAGTAGAAGTAGAAGTGCTAGAAGTAGATACATTATGTAAAGTAGAATTGGTACTAGCCGGAAAAGTAGTAGGCACATGAGTATGACAAACGAAGGCAACACAATTGTTCATCCTCCTTGTGCTTGCACCACTTCTTGCAGAACTTCATGGCATTGAGAAAAGTCACTAGGATTCATGCTTCTCATCCAACAGAACGGGAAACTCGTTCCATTGAGCATCTTTGACCATGAGAAGTGACTCCTTCCACTTGCTCCATTCCCATTGCGACTGCAACCAGCCCAAGCCAAGGTGTTACGGACTCCGCAAGGGCTCGATCGCTGGTTTGCGGGTTACCACTCGGCAACTTGCTGTATTTTTTTATTTTTATTTTTACAATTTTCTTATTTTATTTTACTTTGTTTCTGCTCTTCTGATTGCAGACAGTTGGCGCCATCTGCATTTTGGCACCCGTTCCCAAATTCCATTTTTTGGGACTTTCGGATTTCAGACACTTGGAGCCATCCGACATTCTGGCACCCACTCTCAGACTTTCAATTTTCAGTTCTAACCCTGAGGCATTTTCACTTTCGCCCTCAGGACCGTACTTGAGTCCAATACTTATGTACGGACTCAAGCCCAATACAAGCACCAAGTTTTCAGCCTCGGTGCTTGTGTTCAGCACGACTTGGCTTCAAGATTGTGCTCGAGAATTCAAGACTGCGACTTTGTGACCTTTTGCCACTTTGTGTCTGCGTCCGTCGAGTCTTGTCGAGTCTGCGTCAAGTTAAACGCGTTTTGTGCCGACTCTGAATGAGTTACTCGCTTGAAGGGACCTCGCTCTTGAGAGGGGGGTAGTGTAATGACCCGCCAAAACACAGACTCAGAACATTGCTGATTTCTGGGATTTGCCGCTGGAATGAATGCCTTGCTGAGATTCCCGCATTCTGCTGTGATTTCCAAGTCTGTGTTGTCATATTCGCTATACGCTCAAAAAAAGCATGATGCGTGCCTTCTAGTTTGCATGCCTGTCGACCTGAGTGTGTGTGTCACCCGCAAGTGTACTTGTTGGTTGAAAGGCCCCGCGGGGCCGGTACTTACCTGTGACCGTGACTTTGAGGGTTGCAGCGAGAAAACACTGAAGTAGCGGGGTTAGGCCCGTGACACTTAGAACAGCGCGAAAAACACAAGTAGCAGGTAGGCCCGTACCACTCAAGTAGTGGTAGAAGTGTCGGGTACTGGAGGCCGAGCAGAAGAAGACAAAGTTTAGAGGCCCAGTAGCAGTAGGTTAGAGGTAGGCCGGTACCAGTCCAAGTAGCCTCAGTCCAGGGCCTGTCCGGACGATAGCAGAGCCTGCAATGATGTTTCCCTCCGAAAGGGAGGAGGTACTGGTTGCGGGGAGGCTGCTCGCCCTGGGAAGTCACCGCCCAAGAGGCCAGTAGGCCGCTATATCTTCGGGAGGAGCAAGCAGCTCCTCATTTGCAGTATGCAAACATTGGCGACATGCTGCTGGAGCCAAGCGCTGTACTTGGGACACGCTGCCTGGACAACAAGAGCAGCTGGGCGCTCAGCCTGGCTATGGCGAGCAGCCCAGCCTGAGGAGGACGAAGAAGGGGGCGAAGGAGGAGGGTGGCGAGGTACCTACCTGGCTATGGTGGACACCATCTTCATCACCTTGTTGGGCGCTGCATCTGGAAGGCCCCAGTTGGGGTAGTGCCACACCAAGGAAGCTCGAGGCAGAGTCGGGCATTGCGGCTTAGTGAGCAGCGGCATAGCTGCTTTGGGTTGTCCTTTGGACAGGAGTGCAGCGACATAGCTGCTTGCATCGGGCAGAGCCCTTAGTAGTCCGCCATAGCCTAGGCATGAGAGAGAACGAAGAAGGGGGGAAGCCATAGCTATGGTGGACCTGTTGTTGTGTCAGCAGTAAGAGGGAACTTCGGATATTGATTCTGGTTCATCCACTCGTTGTTATTATTATTATTGGAAGAAGAATAAGATTGGCGAAGTGAAGGAGGAGGAGGAAGGTGGAGAGAGAAGGGGGATTTGTTTTTGGTCTTGCTGGTGTACTTCTTTGGTCTCTATCTCTTTGCAAGTGCTTTCATTTCTTTCGCAATTGGGTGGCATTGTCTTTCATTGTGAATTTGTACTTTGGGAATGACCAGGATCGTAACACATTTCTTTTTGCAATTGGACAGCATTGTACTTTCTGATGAATGTGTACTTCGAAATTGGCCAGGATCATAACACAAGTCCTCTGTATATCCCTGTATGATCAAAATATGAAAGATGTCAGCGTACCTCTGATTCTGTTGTCGTTGCTGTGCACTTCATGCTATATGTTTCTTGCTAGAATACCCCCCTTGCTCAGAGACCAGTTCAGGCCTCACAAGAATGGGTGAATTGCTGAAATACCCCTGCCCTGCAGGGAAGACGCTGAGAGAGGGTTTCTGCCTAGGTTTCACACTTTTCGCAAGAGCCCCTCTTTTCATTTCCGTTTAATTTTCTTTTCATTCAGCTTGCAGAAGAAAAAGAAGTCATTCGTTATAGTTATAAAGTGGGGGCGTGACAGGCTAACTAAAACCCCACTAGCTGTTGTACAGCTGAGGACCCCCAAAGCGGGCGTGGTGGGTGACAGACGCCGTTGCCCCAGGCTTCAGAAGAACAACAGGCGTCCACCTCCCTGGGTTTCCTCGTACCAAGTTGAGACCAAGAATTGAAAATGCCTCATGCCTCAGATGCTGAGGCTCAGGACCTGTACAGTTTGAGCCCCAGGCACATTCTGGAAGGGCCCTGGGGCGCAGACACTGGGACACTGGGCGTGCATCCAGGCCAGACACAGCCTCGCCAGCCAGAGCACTTCCATCAAGGAAAGTCTCTCGCCAGGGCAGGAAAGAGCCTCGCCAGCCAGCCAGTGCACTTCCATAAAGGAAAGTGCCTCACCAGGGCAGGACACATTCTGGCTAGCTGCATTTAGCGACAGTGCTGCTGGAGAGCGAGGTCGGGCGCAGGCCAATCAGGAGAGCTCATGCACAGGCGCTGGTCAGCAGGGCTACGGGCGCAGCAGCCATAGCCAGGCTACTCGCACTTGATGCCAATGGAGATGGTGGCGGTCTTGGGCGGTGGTGTAGTGCCTGTGAAGGGAAAAGTCAGGGGATGAGTGAGACGGAGAGGGAGACGGACCTGGTGTGGAGAGGACTGCGAGGGCAATGTCTTCACATATATCGGGCAGCTGCTGAAGTATTCCTCGTTGCATCTGCCGATTGTTGGGGTAGTATAGTTGGTGTATGATCGTAGCAGGGGGGGACAAGCGCCATATAGAAGAGCGACATTGGATAAGTTCATGGTGGAGGCGAGATGGGGGCTGACATTGTCAATTGAGTTCATTGCTTTGCTCTTATTTGGAGTGTAACTTGGTGCATTCTGCTTTCTGTTCGGCACACGCGCGTCTAGCTTTCAATGTGATGATGCAATCTGGTTTTCTGTCATTCGCTCCGCCCATTTTCGTTGCAAGATGTTCACAAATTGCGACAGGGGCCCAGCCTACCTCAGTGGTTAGCTCATTGGTTTGTTGGCGCTTCAACGTCTGTGCCTGGGTTCAAATTCCAGGTCCAGCAACTGGTGTGTGTGTGGATGTGTGTGTTCTAAACTGTCACAACAACAACCGCTTTTCCACCCATATGACTAGATCCAAGATTGAAACAGCTTTACCTCTATGCATGCATATGTGTCTTTGTGTGCAGGTTGAAACAGCTTTACCTCTATGCGTGCATATGTGTCTTTGTGTGCGGGCCTCCTTTTTTCTGTTTCTCCTATGTCCCCCAAAAAAGCCTGTTCCGCCACACACAGCACAAAAAGAAAAGAAATCCCCAACCTGACGACAACAGGAGGCCAATTCTTTTTCGCCCCTGGTTCCACGTGGCCCAAAACAAACACAAATCCCCAACCTGACAACAACTTCCCGCAAGCTGTGGCCTTCCGACAACGACTGCTATCCAATGTTCCCAAACATTTGCATGCATAAAAAAAATTGCCACCCCATGGCCCTCTAAGCTATGGAGTATTGTATTGATTATCATCTTACCAGCCAATTCCGAAGCACAGAAGGCGTCATCTTGCAAGCGAAAGTGGGATACTCAGAATCAAATGCCTCCACCCTTTCCATCACATTCTTTCTCTCCTCGAGTAATGTTTGTCTTCGCAATGTAACATACTGGTCACTGCATTTTGTGTCCTTTCGTTTCATTGCAGCTTCCTTGCTTTCCTCCCTCTCCTTCTCTACCCTCATCTTCTTCTGGAACAATGCTGCAACAATTCTCTTAACCCTCTTCCTCCTGTTACTTCGCCGACGTTCCGTCTGCTCATCAACAAGATCATCCTGGGTGCTAATCTGTGTCTCTAGAACTTGAGATGCACGTGCTCCTCTCTCTCGTTTACATGGAAAAATGCCTTTGTTACTCAGCAATCGAATCGCATGCCCTCCACTTTCACCCTCATTGCGTCCATTAAGATGATCGTGCCCATAATCTGGGTTGATCACAGAGGAACGATGCAGCCCTGAATCAGGAGACTGCTGATTTGGAAGTGGTACTACGCCACCTTTTCTTCGCTTTGCCTGTCGCCGCCTTTTCCTGGCCTCCAATAATCGTTTGCCCCTCCAATACCCTCCATCGCCTTCCTGTTCCTCAATCTCACCATACCCATCTTCCCCATCCCCCACACAAAATGCAAAAATCTTCAACAGCGATGGTCCAACTGCTTCAAAAACAATGAAATCTCCAAATGCAAGTGAATGGTAACTCATCAGGTTGGCCCACCCATTCAGCAACATGCTTTTACGATGGTGCCAAGTCATCGCCCATCTGTTTCCCTCCCAATCCTCTACCACCACATCCAGTTCCACATGCCCTTTCTCTATATGCCCTAGCACACTTTTCTGGAACCAGCTCCTGAAGATAGGCTGCATGTACACAAACACAAACCATGACCGCCCCCCACATATTCACCCAAATCAACAGTCCACAAAGGGGAGCATTAGTAACCTTCAGATTGATTCTCACCACTTCTGTGAAATTTAGCCCTATTTATACCATACCACGAAAGGGGATACGGAACAAAACAGCAGCCATGGATGACAACTGAATTGCATGCACAAACCTTGCTGCCATTTCGCTAAATTACCACCTATCATTTTTATACCATTGCTCAGTTCCACTGTGATGAGAATTGGACAGACATTACCCAAAGTGCTTCAGAAACGACCTCAAGCCAGACAAAAGCATTTCATTCACGCAGCTTCACTTGGCAGGTGTGGCAAAGGTGGTGCATCCAACTAGACTGTGCTTCTTTTCCAGCTAGCACCCTATGCAAAAGCAGCGTGCGCACTCCCAAATAGTTATTTGCCCGCCAGACATGTCCTCAAGCATGCTCTGCATAAATATGAAGTCAGCACACAACAAACTTGACTGTAACAACCCTAACTGAACAAATCACTATCTGACATGGAGCCAATTCACTGACGGGCACATCACAGTGGAGCAGGACTTCAAAGGGTTGCATGTAAACATGAGATTGGGTGAGTGTGTACATTTGCATTTCTTATGTTTTCATGTTCCCCCCACTTACCATGCTGTGAAGTGCCACAGCTCCAGGAGATTTTGATCGACGGTTTTTGCCAATCTGCTTCCAAATGGCTGGTCGATATCCTTCCAAGGACCGGACACAATGTGCTGCAGCAGCCTGTGCTTCCTTTGTTGAGGCATATAGCCGCAAATGGAATTTGTAGGGGACAGACAGTGCCCTCTTCAAATCATCCACTGGGCACGTCAGTTGCTGTTTTACCTCGTGCTGTTCTGCTTTTGCAGATTCTGAGTTGCAGCCCTTGTTCTCAAACCTATGCAGGTCTCGTCCAATTGGGTAAACAATGGCTCTGTGTTCACCCATATCGTCTATGTGATGGTCATCCCTGCCAAGCCTAGGGACATCATCTCCATCAGCACCGACTCCAACTCCGTTGCCATCTTGTCCTCTGGAACTCCGATCATCATTCTCCATAGTGTGTGCAAAAGTATTAGAGCCATGGCGAGGATTTACTACAACAGTACTGTCTTTCAGGGATGGACAGAGGCGCACAGAGAAAGACGGAGCAATAGACACCACTCTTGGGGAAGCATCTTGTGAGCAACTAGCTGTATGTCCCAATTCGTGCTTTTGGGCCCCTGCGATGGTGCTCTTATCTTTCACGGACAAAAATACATGTACACCTTTACCCTTGGATCGTTGCACACAAATACCACCGGCACTGTTACCTGGCAGATGCTTCCCCAATCCACTGTCACTGCCAGAGAGAGCATTGCAACAACTGGCACCTGGACCTTGTGCATCATTCCAATTGCTCATCTTACCACTCTTGCCCTCCCCAACAAGAGCATGGCGTTCGTCATTACTAGTCGCTTCAACACCAGGCCTGGGGCACTCGTTGCCTTTTCCATATGCTGTGCCCTGCAAACCAAGAATTGAAATGCCACTCTCCTTAACTACATCATCAAGTTCACTGCTGACTCTGGCATCACAGGCAGAATCCTTGGCCTTGTCATTCTTAGCCGCACCTTCACAACTACTGCCTCCACCACTCTGTTGTCTTTGAACCGGCTGCACATCTAAACCGCACATGGCATCGGGAATCACTGAGCAATTCGCACTGGCGCCACCATCCCCACCACCCATGTTGACCTTCACAACTATGCCAGTGGTAGTAACACTGGCCGGGCAGTGTGCATGCTTAACACCAGACACATCGCCGCTATCATCATTGTTTCCAACAACCGTTGTCATTGGACCTTCTGCCTCTTTATTATGGCGAAGAGAGCCACCACCTTCATGCTCAACAGTGCCACAAGAGTTCTCATGCTTGTGCGTCCTTGGAAATCCACAGGAACGAAGACTGGGAGTGGAGCTATCACCTAGCACTCCATCATGGCCGAGGGGAATAATGAATCTGCCCTTGACCTGGGCAAAGAACTCGGTGTCAACATCATTGTATTCATCGGGTCCCAGGACGCTAGTCTGCTCACATCCACATAGCACATGCTGAGCACATTTTCCTTCAATTCTGGACGAACCTGTGCCATTATTATTGAACATGGGATCCTCTCTAAGGATGGCAACATGATCACCAGCTCTTAGAGAAGGCACCTCAGCATACTTGTTGGCTACTTCAACCTGTGGAGGGACCAGAATCCTGTCATATTCTTGTGTGGGGACTACGGCAACACCGCACTTTCCTTGCACATCTTCTTGCACATTTTCTGGAGGATCATCTGCAAGAACTTCGTCAGCTATAAGTGCAGGCTCCACTACGTTCTTCTCTACTTCTACAATAGACACAAGGTTGCTTCTTTCTTCACATCCTTGATGCACATCCACAAGACCTTTTGCTTTAGCATCTTTTGCAGAACTTCTCCACGAAAGATCATCACCAGCCCCTAGAGAAGGCTCCTTCACGTTGTCGTCTTGCTCTATGGTTGGCTCCAGGCTGTGACTTTCCTTACATACGTGATCCAGCCGTACATCCGCATCAGACTCCCTTTCACCATCCGGGCAAGAACTACCTGGGGTGACATGGTCATCAAGGAGAGCGCACTTGTAAGGAACATCTCCACAACCACCACCCTGGAGGACAGAATACTCTACAGGTTTGTCAACTTTCATAGCTGCTCGTGAACTGCGACTACTCTCTAGTCGTTGACCATGACATAAATCATCTTTGCGTTCACACTCTGTGAGAGGACTACTACCATACTTATTCTCAAGGATGGTGGCATGGCCGACACCTAACACGAGAGGCTCTTTAACAGCACCATCAAATTTTAGGGATAGTGGATGCCTACTCTCTGTTTTGGACAATTCAGCACTTTGTACATCCACAGCACCATTTTGCTCAGAATTTTTGGAAGGCGTAGTGCGAAGACCATGATGCAGGGGGGAATCCACAAGAATGCAAGCATTACTTCCTAAGGACAGCTCCTTGAAAGCCTTGTCATCCTTTACAACTGAACAGATCCCATTACTTCTGTCACACACTGGGGCCATGGATACATCCCCATCACGTTCTCGCTGAGCCTCTTCACCGCGACTGGTGACAAGGTCAGCAAATAACAAATCATCCCCAAGACTGCCATCACGTTCGCCACCTAGCCCGGAGGACTGCTCCACACCGTTGCCAGCATTTTTGACTGCTCCAGGAGTTCGACCAGGTGGACTGCATTTCTGGCTACATGGGCTCTCATGTTTTCTAGCTTGACTGTCGCAGGCACAAAGACTGGATGTGGCACTACCCTGACCACCTCTGCAGGAAATCGCAGGGTTGTAGGCATGTTCACTCGTCAGGCCCAAAATCGTGCCATCATCAGCACTGCTCCTTGCATTTCCATCATCCAGACAGGCAACTGCATCGTGCCTTTCAACGTCAGACACAGCATGAACACACGCTTCACCACCACCATCAACTGCTATGGGGTCGACTAGATGCCGACCACCAGAATTAATAGTACCTGCAACAGAATTAACTGTATCCGTAATTGGACCACTGCCTTCCCTCACACAGTTACAGTTGACATTTGAGGCACCGGGGGCATGCATACCAAAACCACATGTGTCTCTTCCCGCACTGCACATTTGACCTCTCTCTGTTTGGTCCTCGGGGCTTTCTTCCTCGTGGAGCACAGCGTCAGCGGCATAAGGAGCAGAAGTATCCCCACCATTCCCAAGATGCATGGGCTCGGTGCAGAGATCACCAGCTTGACATCCAAGCGTACTGACAGCTTTGCTGCACATCGAGAGAAATTTAGCTCTATCAGGTCCTTCCAGACCCCCAGGGCTGCACCCTTCCTGAACGCCCACCTCCTCCTTTCCCACTGCATCTTCACGTATACAATGTGCAGAGCTTTGTTCACCCACACTAAGCCCCTTGGGGACATCTTTTAACCCCCCCCCCCCCACTATCATTTCTACAGAACAATCACCAGTAGCCAAATCTGGGACAGTAACATGCAAAACACTGACACCAACACCAGAGCCAGCTGTTTGTGCAATTTCTCTGGTGCTGCGGTCTTCTGGACTTGTTTTCGTATCCTTGAATGGCCTATCCTTGTCAGCAGTCAGTCCGTTGCCACAACACTGCGAAGCATCACCATCTCTACCACGTTCATGACAACCAAGGCCACCATCAACACACTCCATACCACAAGCAATGAATCTGTCATTCACACTACTTCCCTCACACCCATCACCGAGTTGGCCATCAACAACAGACTCATTGGCTGCAGCTAGAATACATCTTTCATCGTGGACCCTAATGAGATCATCGCTGTTGAGATTGCCAACATCACAATTGCCTAAGCCCTGCGATGCTCCAATTTCTTGACCTTCAAGAACAGGTTTCACTAAAGCACCTTTGGCACTCTTGACAGCACCATCTGCGCGCTCACAATCAGCATCATCATGTTGTTTCGGAGTGACTTCACATACGTCCATATCCATGGCAAAACTTCTCCCTGGATGAGAATTGTTCAAGAAATTTGTTTGATCTTCACCGGCTAGTGTGTCATCTTGGGAGTCCATGGCATGAACATCAGACACGAGCGACATGATGTCAGGCATAGAGACATCCTTGCCTTCATGAAACTCGGCAAGCCTGTGTGGAACAGATCCTGCATCCAGACCTGCATTTCTACAATCGTCAGCACGGTTGGCAGCACCACCACTTCCATCAAAACGAGTACCCTCGTCAGCATTTTTTCCATTCTTACCTGCTGCCACATGCGTTTGACAGTTAACCAGTTGCAAATCACAGCTATGAGAGGTCGAGACTGCAGCAGATGCATTCCTACATGCAGTCACTTGTCCACTGAGTGGAATGCCTTCTCGTCTGTCTGACAAACTGCCCATCAGAGCAGGCCCGTTAACTGCAGATCCTCCTGCATCTTCTGCCCCAGTCTTGGCGCTGCAGCGCATCACACCATCCCCATCCAGAAGCGGCCGTTTCATGACCCCTGCATCACTTTCACGAGTTATGCATGCCAAAGGGGCTGGCCCCCCAGTGTTGCCATCACTGCCTTCTCCATCATTATATTGCCCTCCTTCTGCAGCACTGTTTACTGCAGCACCACCATTCATAGGTTCGCCTCCAGCGCCAACAGTGGCATCTGCGGAAAATGATGCTTCTCTGCCATCACCATTAGCTCCTGCATGACAAAAATTTTGAGCTTTACTGACAACACTGCACCAACCAGCGTCATCACGCCCATATCTTTCCTGATTACAAGAAACATTTATATTGCTGGAGTCATGACCGTGAATCTGTGGAGGCTGGCCCTCTCCGTCACCACTGGCATCAAAATACTTCGTCAAACTAGTAGCCATGCCATCCAAGCCTGCACCGCGATCATTGTCAGTTCCTGAACCAGCTTCAGGATTACAACTCGCGGTGTAACTGCTGGCCCCTTGAACAACTTCACAACCACAAAAGGATTGGCAACTACCGCCAACACTTCCTGCACTATTTACAGCTAACCCCTGCTCTGAACCCATCAGACAGGCCCTCCTGATCCCACTTTTCTCCAGACCAATCTCTCCATTGATTCCCAGGGCAGCGTCACAGTTCCCAGAATCAGTATGTTCAACTCTGACACATTTGTGATGATCATTGGGAGCGCCACCATCACTGGCAACCACATTTCCATCATGCGTCACAGCGAACCTATCTTGCACTATCACATCAAAACAGGGAGCACTGTTGCTGATACCATCCACATGGGGGACGTGAAGAACGGTGCATCCTTTGTCGACTTCAGCACCCAAGCTTTTCTCATTCTCAACATCCCTGTTACACGTATTTCCCGAGGTTACTTGACTCAGGCTAGCTCCATCAGCATCCACACTGCAACCACCATTCCAGGGAGAGACTTGCTTGGGTTCCATACCACTAATAATCTCGGTCTCCCCGCCCAAGCCAGCACAAATGTTATTTACATTGCTGGTATCCATCATATATCCATCAACCACAGCAGTCCTATGGGAATTGAAGTGCTCAAGGCCACCAGCACCAGCACCAGCACCACCATCGTTTGAGCTCCTATCAGCCCTATTGTGATTGAAAAGAATGCCAGTTTCATCTTCGGAACTAACCCTATTAGTGGCCACTACAGGAGTACCACTGCTACTATCAACCCCACATACATGGTCCCTTACATCAGCTCTGCGCTCAATATACTGGTCAGGAGCAGTAGCAAATCTGTCTCCATCAACCGGGGGGTCTTCAGGGATAGCAACCGTCAATTCAAGACGGCTGTGTTTCCCTCCACTATCATCGTCCCCACCATTATCAGGAGGAACCACTGCACAATTCCGAGAGGATCCAGCTCGGTCATTCTGCCCTGGCTCATAAGGCTCCAAGACCTCCACATAGCTGTTCTCCACTGCAGCCCCATCACTCATCTGCTCGCTTTTACTGGCATGTGTCACCTTTGATGACCCAGGAGCTTCGCTGCTAATCTGCTCGCGTACACTCTCTCCATCCTCCGCTGCATCGGCACCAGCAACATCCAACCCTGGATCCTTCATCTGGCCAAACCTATCATCCTTAGAGATCACCATAGATGCCCCTCCACTGGCTATGCCAACCACACCATCAGCAGCTGCATCCTCTTGCTTGCCAGACGGTTCATTCCCACAAACAGCCATGTCACTGGCAGGAGCACTAGAATCCGCTGTGAAATGATCGTGTGATACATCGTTTAAACTCCTATCATTGTCAGCACTACCATCACCATCACTTACCAGCTCGGCCAGTCGGACACAGCCGGAGAGCGCTGCTCTTTCTTCACTGGCAACAGTATCACCAGTGAGACTCCTTCCATTACCAGAAATTCCTGCAAGGTCAACCTTGCCAGAACTTGTCCCATCTCTACTACCTGAACCTTCACCGCCGTCACTTAAATCACCTGTACCATCCCCATTAACACCAATGATACCCGTACTGCAATCAGCTAACTTACCTTGACCTTGGTCAAAACTCCCCCTGACAACCAGACTTTCTATACTACAACAATCAGCACCAGAGATATTGGATGCCCTACACACATCCCCATCCGACACACTCGTTGTGTCGACATCTTCCGATTGACCAATCACAGACAAACCATTCCTTTTTCCCACTGCCACATGGATTTTCACCGAGGCCGCTTCTGTTGCACGTGAATCACCCTCCTTACCATCAGATCCCTCACCAGCCACCTTGACAACGAGGCTTTCCATGGTACGGTCAGGGTCATTCACATCAGGTGCTCCCGCAAGATCGCCACCCGATGCACTCATCACAGCGACATCATCAGATGCACTGACAACGGGCACAACATTTTCCGTTGCTACATCACCTTTCACCAAGTCTGCTGCAAAACGAAAGGCTGCATTCCGATCTCCACATGGCCCCTGCTCATGGGCACTGTCGCCATAACTTGTCATTCCGCTGGGGCACATGACCCTTGCCTTAGGACCATCATCTGGATCGCCACTGCTCATCCTGACTGCACCGGATTCCATGACACATGGCTTGCTGATGATGCCAATATCAACATCTGCAGACACATTTCCACCATTTGTGCAAAGAGCATCCTTGGCGCCAATGTCAGCTTCTACTTCGCATCTACCATCAGCATCTTCCGAGAACCTCGTGTCAGTATTTGCGACGGGTTTGCCAGACCCAACATTCTCATCCCAGGAGATTACCTCCGCATGTTTATCATGACCTCCCATGCCAATATCTCCATTCGCACCTTCCTTACCACCACTGCTTCCAGTGCCACTGCAGCCAGAGTTATCATGTGCGATCTCCGGGGCATTCAGACTGTTGCTGGGTGTCCCTGCAAACGTGCAAGCATTGTCTCCTCCATGTGCAATTTGCTCACTACCATTACCCAAACAATCTGTGTTACCCTCCATAGCAGCCGCCTCGGCATCTCCTTTCACCCGTCTGCTGCAGGCAGCACCTTCATCATGATAGAAGTCGTCACTTCTCACAATTTGCCCCCGTGCGCTTCTAGCCTCAGTGCGGGAATCAACCACCATCATCTGGTCCGTGCTGAGATCTTCCACAGGGTACCACTCAGAGGACTTTCCTTGTCCCAGGCATGCAACAGCTCCTCCGTCCTCCCCCGCCGTTTTTCCTAACTCGCAATTGGAAGTTGAGTGGTCCATTAGGTTCGTCAACAGATGGGTATACAGGTGGATGAATGAGTCGATGGATGGGTGGAACCCTCTTCAGAAACAATGAGGTAAGCGACAGTCTCGAGGCTAGCCCACTTCTGCAGCCTGGTAACCAACTGCTGATGGATAGGAGTTGAAGCACTCTCGACCCGCGCAAATGCTGACGTGGCTCCTTCCTGCTCCCTCTCTCCCTCCCGCGGCCTCAGAAAAGCTGGACCACTTCGCTTCTTGACTTCTGCACCCTTGCCACCTCTCGAAAATAATCTCCAATAGGCAACAGCTATCGAGCTCAACCGAAATCTGCAGGTAACACTTGTCTCGTACCCATAAACAATAGATATCCACCACTTACGTCCTGGCAGGAAGAAAAACAAGGATTCAAAGTGAACGCAGCCGCTTGAATTCAATGTGATCTGGACACGGGGCTAGTCGTGCTCGATCAAAGATCATCGCATAAGAGAACTCTGCCCCGCTCAATGACTAAGTATCACACTGTGCGGGTGTGTTACACAGACACTTTCAAACCACCACCACCACCTCCAAGCCTCTTTCTGCCAAGGCAAAGTACAACTGTGCGCCAAGCTTTTGCCAAAGTGCCAGCTCAACCTTTTTTATTTTTTTATTAGGTTATATTCACGACTTCGCCTTGGAGCCTGGAGGAAGGAAACTACATCAAGAATCCAGAAATTCCTCATTCCCACCATTTGCAGACGTTTATCTGACTATGTTACTATTCCTGAGTGAGCCAAGGAGAGAATCCACATTCGCAGAAAGACGAAAACGAAACGAAGGGAAAGAGAAGGAAAGGAAAAGAGAGGAAAGGCAACATATTATACCATTCCGATGACAGAAACAATCACAGACCCAAGGAAGACGGTTCGGGGGAAAGTCATGTACAGCAATACGCTTCTTTTCTGGATTTCTCAGGAGCTTCGTGATGGCAAATTCCCAAGCTCTCACGCTGATGGGGATAGCCACTAAGAAAGCAGAGAGCAATGAGCTGCACACTTACAGACTGAGAAAAAATCTGTATTTATTGAGATACTCCTGTCTTTGACCTGTTCTGCTACGAGTCCATTCCGCTGTGTTTTTCTGTGTGACCTGCTGATCATATGTGTATGCCTGTGTTTTTGTCTTAGCCTAGGTGACAGGACGCAGGGGGTACGTTCACTTACTTGCAGATAGGCAGCCCAGCGCAAGCGATAGGATGGCAGGACTCTAGGGGAGGTCAAGGGATCAGGAGCGGCTGTGGGGAAAGGTGGATACTTACCTGGTGTATCGCGGAAGACTACCCAAGTGATCAGACTCGTCGGTGGCATCTGGCGAGAGGCGTGTGGACAGAGAATGACAGAGGGGAGAGTAGATGGCAGGCCAGAGTAAGGAAGTATTGCACGACCGATATGTCATCGTTTAGGGCTACTGCTCTGTTCTAGTGAAAGACCGCTTCAATCATCAAGAGACCAGTGTTCAGCGTTTCTTGGATTGGTTAGCTCTTGGACTTGTGAATCTGCTTTAAGTTTGGTCTACTCATGCATGGTCTCAAATAAGTTCTTGCATACTGGTTCCTTGCAAATGCTTAGAGAAGCAGCATGCTACAGGGTACTGATTGTCATCGTCTGAATATCTGAAGATAGAGCCTTCAGTGTCATTCAAATTTCAGGTGCGACGCTGACCCTGGTGGTTTTATTCTCCATCACAGTCTGCAACAGTGTTTACACACCACATTTCACACCAGATTCATGTAGGCGTTCCAACCATAAACAACTTGCCAAAATATGAGAGTTCAGTTTCCAATGATCTCACGAGTTCACACCACCTCTCGCAACATCACGGATTCACACTGCATCAGACAAAGCTCCACACACGGGGTGCAAACCAAAACGAGATGAGAACAGTTCAGAGCCTCAAACAGGTATGCCTCTCCCATGGCCACACACTGCTCAGTTGGTTTCGCACACAAGTGGCATTCAGGAGGTCCTCACTGGGGACCAGTTCCTGGGTCTCGTAGATTTCGGCTGCCTCTATACCTGGTAGATTTCGTTTGCCCCTTCCTCTGGTGCTTACACATGGCTTGCTGTGCTTAGACATGTAGGTAGATATCCTAAGGTATAGTTGAGAGAAGAATATCGCTTAGTGTTTCAAAAATAAAATAAAAAGGCACGCCTCTCCCTCTCCCCCTCAAGCCCTATACCACGCTCAGGTCTCTCTCTCTCTCTCTCTCTCTCTCTCTCTCTCTCTCTCTCTCTCTCTCTCTCTCTCTCTCTCT